TTGTCCCCTAGAGCTCTCACCGGGAGGGGTCCCCTGAGGCGCCCTCCCAAGCCTGCCGTTGCCCAGGCTTAGCATAGGGAGGGACACCCATGGGACAAGTCACTGCTAGGCTTGGTGGAGCTGTGGCGGGTTGGGCCTCGGGGAAAGCGCCGGGTCCCAGAGGGCCACCTGAATTGCTGTATCGCACCTGGCTCTCTGTTCTTGGGGACTTTCTGATTCAGGACACAGTCCTGCCCCTCAAGGCGCCCCCGGCTTGTCCAACAGCCAACAAGGCCGACTCTCACCTGACCTCCGGTCACGCACCTCAAGGCCTTTGCCTGGGCTGTGGTCTGCCTGCACATGCTCCCCAGGATCCTGTACAGCCTGGCTCACAGGCCCGCGCCACTAGCCATGTTGGTTCAGGGACAACTTCCTTTCTTCCAAGTGTCCGGGTGGGTGGAGAGAGCGGAAAGCTGGGTGTCCCAGGGCAAGTGAGGCATCTGGAGCTGGGAGGCGAGGGCCGCCGGGGGTGCCCTGGGCCTGCCTAAGCTGGCCTACCTGGAGGGAACCATGAGGAGGCTGTAGGGGGGTGCCCACGCGAGACCTCAGGGTGAGGGCCACGGCTGGTGACTCACTGCCCCAGGCCCAAGGGACAAGTGCTCTGTGCCCATTGCATCTTTGTGCCTTTATTTTTTAAAGATTTTTTATTTATTTGTTTGACAGACAGAATCACAAGTAGGCAGAGAAGCAGGCAGAGAGAGAAGGAAGCAGGTTCCCCGCTGAGCAGGGAGCCCAATGCGGGGCTCGATCCCAGGACCCTGAGATCATGACCTGAGCCGAAGGCAGAGGCTTTAACCCACTGAGCCACCCAGGAGCCCCTTCCTTTTTTTTTTTTTTTTTTTTTAAAGATTTTATTTATTTATTTGAGAGAGAGAGAGAGAGAGCATGAGATGCAACAGGTCAGAGGGAGAAGCCCTCTTTGCGCCCATCTTTGCGCCTTTAATAACCAGCTCCTGTCATTAGTGAGCCAGACCTGGGGAGTTCTCCCACTCACCTGCTTCTGTGACTCTGTCCCCACACATATTCTCTCTGGTCAGGCAGGCCAGACCCCTGGGAGCCCCACCTCTGGGGCCGCCCTCACTGTGCCACCCCAGATCCTCTCCCTGGGTCCCTCACTCTGCCTGCTGCTCTTACCGCACCCCCGCAGGCCCCTGCCCTCGCCCCACTGCTCCCAGTTCAGCGCCCACCCCTGCCACCAGGGTGAGTACCCAACCGAGCAGCCAGTCCTGAAAGCCCCCGAGGCTCCCGCGGCTCCCGGGGGGCTGCCATCCAGCTGCTCCGTGCCCGCTCCGCCCCTGCTCCCTGCTGAGCTCTGCCGGGCCCTCGGGTATGCCTGGCACCGGGCTCTGCGCTCCGCCCCTGCTGCTCCCTCACCCCTGAGGGGCTCGGTGAAAAGGTGTGCCCCTCGAGGACCGTCCTCCGACGCACCGGGGGCGGTGTACCCTGAGCTGTGTGCCCCATGACCCTCGTCTGCCTTCCCCCTGGACACAGGGACACTCCTGGGGCTGCTGCTGCCGACCTCCCAGGTCCCCCAGGACAGGGCGCCATGGAAGTGTGCTGCACGAACGCAGGAGGCCCTCCCGGACTCAGGAGGTCACCCCATCCCTCTCCGCTGTCCTCCTGCCAGCTCCGGTGGGGGCCGTTTGCAGTCCTTCACTCCTACAAATAGTTATGGGTTGGTCAGGTGCTGTTCTAGGGACTGACGATCCTGCCAGGAAGAAACCAGTTTTGTGACCTTAGAGTCCATATGGAGACAAGAGTGACCGGCCATGTGCTGTGGCTTCGGGCCGCGGGACTCCCCGCCGAGCCCAGCGGGCTGGATCGCCACTAGTCTCGGCAGGTGGTGCGTGCTGTGGGTTCCCACTGCCCTGGGGGTTCGCTACTGGCCGCTCAGCGGTCAGACGGGACGTGCCGAGGACCAGGGACCGGAGCCAAGGAGCCAACCCTTTCTGCAGGGCTGGCCAGCAGGAGGTCACAGGGCTGCCTGTAACCAGGCACAAGATGGGATCAGTTCCATTCTCTGCCCTCCCCAGGGAAACAGAGCGACCCAGACGGTGAGAAAGAAGGGCGGCCCGCACCCAGACCTCAGGGGTCCTGGGGGGACCCTCCAAGCCCATTCCCACCCCCGTGAGCTCTGGTGCAGTGTCCCTCTCGGCAGAGGGTTCCTGCCTCTGCCTGACACCCTGGACCTTGGGCACCTTGCTGTCTGGCCCCGGACTGGCCAGGAAGATGACAAGACCAAGGAGGCCACAGCGTGCTCTCCTGGGGGAGGGGCTCCCTTCCATGAGGGCTGCCTGTGTCCCTTCCGCTCCTCACCTGGCTAGGTGCTCAGCCAGGGGCAGTTGGCCAGCGGTGGGGGGTAGCAACACAGCAGCCTGGCCAGTCCTCTCACCACACAGGCCCTGGTCTGGGGGCCCCTGGGCAGGGGCATGAGGTGGTGGCTATAGGGCAAGTTCCTGACCGCGACCCCAGGATCCCAGCTGCAGGTGCAGTAGACCAAGGTTCTTTGAATCCTGACGAGCAGAAAAGCAGGTGATTTTATTTAAGATTTCATTTTCTAAGGGGCGCCTGGGTGGCTCAGTGGGTTAAAGCCTCTGCCTTCGGCTCAGGTCATGATCCCAGGGTCCTGGAATCGAGCCCCGCGTTAGGCTCCCTGCTCAGCAAGGAGCCTGCTTCCTCCTCTCTGCCTGTCTCCCTGCCTACTTGTGATCTCCGTCTGTCAAATAAAAATCCTTTAAAATTTTTTTTCTTTTTGCAACGTGGTGCTCACTCCTGTGCCGAGCACGAGTGTCGTCTGCCCTACCGACTCCGCCGCCAGGCGCCCTGAGGCCGCTGATGGTGAACAGACCGTGGAGCTACTGGAATCTGGGATTTTCCCCTCGTATTCAGCAAGTTCTTGAACAGGTATTATGCAGAGAACACTACTTCCCAAGAAGAGTTCACTGAAAGGACATGGTGAGTCTGGGAGGCAGTGTGGGGTGGGGTGGCCTGGTGAGGGTGACTCGGGAGGCAGAGGCCAGGGAGCTGTGGGAGGAAGGGCCGGTGGGGAAGTTAGGCCCGCAGTCTGGCCAGGTAGGAAGGTGACGGGACCATCCAGCTCTGTGTCCCAGGCCCCTGGAGGACTGGGACCGGGACACTCATGTCAGCGTGAGGACTGGCCATGTTCGCTTGGGAAACAGGCTGCAGGCAAAAGGCTCAAGAGTTTAAAGATTTTATTCTGAGAGAGCATGTGAGAACAGGGAGGGGCAGCAGGAGAGAGACAGAGTCTCAAGCAGACTCCGTTGCGGAGCGCGGAACCAGACGCAGGGCTCGATCCCATGACTCTGAGATCATGACCTGAGCCGAAACCAAGAGTGAGACGCTCAACTGACTGGGCCACCCAGGCGCCCCGCAATGTCTCAAGTTTAAAGGATTATTGTGTAAATCAAATGGCCTGTGTCGTGACTGTGCAGTGAAGACGAGATGTGGGGGCAGGTGGTGCTGCTCGAACTGGGCGCCACGGCCTCCTGGCAGCTCAGGAACGTGCTCGGATCCGAAGAGAAGTAGGAAGGAGGTATTTTTCCGGTTATAATTCACAATGAAGAGCCATGAGGACAGAATAAGACGTTGGTTTGAGACAGTATTTCTTTTGAAGTTTTCCAATTAAAAGGGATGCAGGGTGGGGGCAGGGAGCCTGGCTGGCGGTTGGTAGAGCACACTCTTGATCTCCAAGCTGCTGTTTGAGCTCCATGCTGGGTATAGAGATGACTTAAAAATATATATATATATTTTTTAAAGATTTTATTTTTTTTGAAAGAGGGAGGGAACACAAGCAGGGGGAGTGGGAGCAGGAGCAGGAGAAGCAGACTTCCCGCTGAGCAGGGAGCCCAATGCGGGGCTTGATCCCAGGACCCTGGCAGCGTTGAAGGCAGAGGCTTAATGACTGAGCCACCCAGGAGCCCCTTTAAAAAAAAAAAAAGGCCACAGGGTTTATTGATGTTTGGAGCCTAATGTGGTGCTCATGAGCCAGAGGCCTCCTCAGCCTTCAGCGCTAAGGGCCCACCTCGTGGGAAGACACTGAAACTCAGCCGGAGATCTGAGATTCCGGCCCCAGCCCGAGCTCTCAGCCGATCCCCCCGGCGGGCCGCCGAGTTCCCGGGCTGTGCACAGTGCGCCCAGGAGCACCTGCGGGTAGGACCTGCCCTCCAGGTGAACTGGAGCAAGAGTTCTGCTGAGCGGGTGCTGTCCCAAACATGTGTGCCTTTCCTAGGTGCCCTGGACGCAGGGCAGTCCCCTGGGCAGGTCATGTCCGGAGGGTCTGATTCATCCAGGAGACAACGCTGAAGCTGCCTTGGGGTGCTCCTGAGAATGAAAAGTGCGTGAAACACGCCTCACACAGGGCCTGGTGCGGGGGCTCGGTCCGGGATGGTTTGGAAAATGAAGCATTTACAGCGAAAGCAGGGGCGCCTGGGTGGCTCGATCAGTAAGCGTCCGACTGGATCTCAGCTCGGGTCTTGACTGAGCTCGGCGGACGGTATGCCGGACACAGTGGCCCTCTGCCCCTGCCCCTCGCCGCTCGCTCTCAGATCAGTCACAGCAGAAGCCACCATCACACACGTCCTGACCACCTGGATACCCTCAAACTCGCACCCAGGGTCCCAATCTGGGCCTTGCCCCAGCCCCCTCCGGGGTTCCTCCTGAGCCCCCTCGCTCAGCCTCCCTGGCCCATGACGCCCCCTGGCCTCAGCAGAGCACACTCCGCACCCTTCCAGCTCGCGACGCCAGAGTCAGATCGGAGCGCCCAGCATGGCACGCCCTCTGCCACCCTGGCCGGACTGCGGTTTCTTCGGGGCCACATGGTGACGGACCCACTCCGACCGGCAGCGCAGCACGAAGCACGCAGCAGCAGCTTGACGCACGGGTTCCGATGTCCACGAGTAGCAGTGAAAGCCTAGTGTGCTACGGTGCCTCTGTGTGTGGCGGAGCGTTTATTTAAAAATTTCCAGTTTCCCCCAAAGTATCCTTTTTTAACCTGTACAGTTTGTTTCTTGTCACTTCTGGGCCTCGGGCTCATTCGCACGGCTGAGTGGGCTGCCCGCGTCTCTATGTGGGTCACCGGGAAGACCTTCGCAGGGGAGGCGGCAGCAGAAACGTGCTGGCAGGAGGCTAGAAGCGCAACAAGGTCCTGCTTTCATGTAACAGGCGGATAACGGGCAGGGAAACGGTCCCAAGTAAGTGGGACTCATCCCTGCTGGAGGCGGAGCAGGGAGGTGGCCGAGGGCTCAGGAGCTCCAGAACTACCTGGTCAGAAATACCAACTCTCTAACGCGAACCTGAGCTTCAACAGCACACCCTAACTCATGCCTTTTCTCCAGGGAGAGGAGCTTCCCCGTTTCCCCGCTTTGCTACAGGTAAGGTCACCTCCTGCGTGCATGGGCTGGGGGGCAGAACGGGAGACCACATCTCCCCTGGGCCCTTCTCTGGTCCCCACACTTCTGGGACTGCTTACGTGAACGGCCACCCTTTCCTCTGCCACAGGACTCTGATCCGTGCTCCGTGCTGTCACCTCCTTAGGCCACTGCCACCAACTGGACCTGCGAGCCCCTTCCCCATGCCTGGCCCGTTCTGCCAAGACATCATTCCTCACCCAGGCCGGAGAGCAAATGAAGGTGAATCAGAACAGAACTCACACCTCAGACTCACATCCTTTTGCCACTGCAAAGATAAGCTAAGAGATTTTTATTGCATTAATAATTAAGGGTATACTAATATCTCAAAATACTGAATTATTTCACACATACGATTACAATAGTCATACAACAAACAGAGTGGGGACAGGAACCAGCACGCTGGGGGGCACATCCGTATTGTACATCAAAATCAATGGCAAATATTTCTCCAATTATTCTTAGAAAAATACTAGACACATTAGAAGCTGAAAAGCTTTGCTTAAAAACGACCTGTATATACAGGATAAGCTTAGACCTTCAAAAACCAGGTAAAAATTGGCAAAGTGAAACACATGAGAAATACTGGTTAAAGGTCTCACATGTACTAACCAGCAGCAGATACTGTACCAAGGCATTGTAGCAAAATAAAGCATCCCACCGCCCGTAGGAGACTGGTTCGTTCCATCTGTCTTCATCACTACTTTGTTACAGGTAGACTGACTTTAGTCTAATTTGGGTCAGGACTGACCCGAGGGCAAAGCTATCTCACGTGAGGTAAAGAAAGCAAACATTCCCAGCCAGTTTTTGCGTGAACATGGATTGTACTGTTTAATGCAGACCCAAGGCCAAACATTTTTTGGGGGTAGGTTTTACTTCCATTACAGGTTCTCTTCATGTAAGATCATAAAAATACAATACAGTGTCACGAGCCCGGTTTCAAGATACATGCGGCAGCCCCCTAGGAACACAGACAGCTCCCAGCTGCGGATGAGGAAAGCTCAGTCCGGTGTCGCCAGCGTTCCTTACGGGAGAGTCATCAGGTGCAAGGAACTAGAACAGGTCGGACAGGAGACGTCATGCCTTAAGTCACGCGAGGATGATGTGATCATCTCCACGACCGAAAGAACCCACACGAGAACGCGCACTGGCTCCCGAGACTTCCCCTCACTCACAGGCGCAATCAGAGCTCAGTCTCTGGAAAAGCTAGGGATCACCTTGTTTGAAAGGAAACAATGGATATTTTAAAAGGAAATGCTGACACTTAACTTTCAAATCTGACTTTGAAAATGAAGTCAAGCCTGGGGCAGGACAGGCCTCAGGCACTTGAGTTTAGAAACTCCACGATTTTAAGAGCACCCAAGAGCGAGGTTACAGAAGGGCCATCCTAAAAAGGACTTTGGCCAAAGTGAGCTCCCAGTGTTCTGCACCGGGACCTGCAGGCGCTAGGGGTGGGATGGGCACATGGGAAGGGCTCGAAGCCCAAAAAGACACAAAAATGCCCTTTGATTTCACAATCCGCTGAGTCCTACTGCAACAGTTCTAGCAGGAGAGACACATCGAGGGCTTTTAGTTATCGGGCAACGCTGAGACAAAGCGGAAATCTCGAGGGCCACATTTTATCCTCCTTTCAGTAGTCAGGGCTATTCCCTTATCTTATTTTTAGCTGCCTACAGTTACCAAATCAGTATCTCTGAAAGAAAATGACAGAAAATGACTGCCGGAGTCCAAGAGCCGTCTGTCCTCTAGTAGGGTTATTGGGTGAGAGGTGACAACAGCAAGTCTGTTCGCCACCACGCGGGGACCGACACGTTATCAAGGCACTTGAGAACACTGGGAAATTCTTTTCTTCCCATCAACTGGCAGCCACAGAACCGGGTCCCCAGAAAGCAAGTATAGACACCCGCATGCCCTTTAGCGAAAGGGAACCCACCACGCGCGGACAGACCTTACTGGCTCTTTCCGGCCCTTGAGACACCTCCACGTGCCACTGACGTGAGCTCCGAAGCCCAGCGGGTGCTCAGAGCTGCTGTCACTGCCCGCCCGGGCGGGAGATGTTCTGATGCCAGGGCCGCGCCCCTCCTCGGGCAAGCTGGCGAGGTCTGGTCCCGCAGAGCTACTCGCCGCCGCTATGGAACAGCACGGGGTGTGCACAGGAGAGTCCGTCCGCGACGCAGCCTCGAACAGCAGCAGCCTGGGACGCACCACACCCAGGCACTTCCGGGAGGCTTAGCGCGACCGGACAGCGGCAACTAATCTCCAGCTTCCGTGATCTTGCCACAGGGATGGGTGTTTCCTTTTTTTTTTTTTTAAGGTCTCCTAACGTCACTTAAATGTTCCCAGCCTTACTGATGACCACTGAAAACTGTGAATTCAGTTTACAACAAAAACTTGAAGGTAATAACTTGGTGTTTTATCCCTTCTTCAGGGCAGTCTCAAAGGCTTTTTTTTTGCTACTAATTTTCATAATTTTCTTATGTTGCACAGGAAATAAAAGAGTTTCCCCTCTAAACGCAGAGTATGGGGGAAAATACAGACACCATTTTCCAAACAAAAAATGCTTATGGGAAAAAAAAAATCTGAAAACAAACAAAAAACCCCTCACCCTATTAACTTGGGTTGAACCAATCAGGCCTCAGAAACAAAGGAAGAAGCCCCCAAGCTCTCTGCTGTAGGTAGCACAACAGAACATACCATGGTCTGCTTTATGTTTGGACCTTACTTCTAACCAAAAATCTCCCCGTCTCATAATCGTTCCAGCGTCCTGTCAGCCTACGTATGTATCTAGATCCTGAAAGATCTGCACCCCAGTGCTTGCACAGGCCCCTTAAAAAAGACAAAAGCTGCCCATCACTTTCTGATTTAAAAACCCCCCCAAAAACCACACCACAACATACGGATAACGATCCAAATGGAAAAGTTAATGTGCTGTAATGACATTTGTTTCGCAACATCAAAAGCAGCAGATACTGAATATAATTTGCTTAAACCATACAAACGGAGACTGAACTCTGCATGTGTAAATCACATCTAGGCTGCACGAACTGACAGCTCTCCACAAACACGTAGAAGTACACGTAGAGTGCAACACAGGAAGTACCACCCGCGGGGCGGCAGCGCCTAGTACTCCCACTCGTCGGACTTCAGGTCCAGACAGCTGAGGGTGTTCTGGGCAAGCTTCACCGCCTGCTTCCTGGCGGCCTTACACTTCTCTTCCCCTTGCGGGTCCACGGCGTCCAGGGCCAGCAGCTGCTTCGTGAGCAGCTCTTCCAGCCGGATGTAGTTCTTATCGGTTCGGTTCCCATCAAACGAGAGAACTTCGCCCTGGATCTCCGACAAGTTGCCCAGGATGTCCCAGACCGCTTTATGGGCCGGGTGCTCCTCGCAAACCAGCGTCTTCCTCTTCTCCAGGGCCTCCTTCAGGTCAATGTAGGTTATCAGGGTTTGCACCTCAATGACCGCCCTCCTCCGAGCCTCCCGGATGCAAGGGTTTTTCTCGAGACTGACCTCATCCAACTGCCCGATCAGAGCCTGCAACTCCATCTTGGAGCTCAGGTACAACTCGGGAGGATTCTGTGCTTGAAGAAGTTCATTTTTTATTTCTCTCATTCTCTTGAGGACCTTTTCTATTTTTAAAATGGAATGATTCTGTCCCAGGTCGAACGCATAAGTAGTATCTGCTTCCTCTTCCAAATCCAAATACCTCAGTAATTTGTTGATATCTTCCACCACCTCGCGCCGGTAGTTCCTGATTTCCGTCCGCCCGCACACGTCCAGCGCGTCCAGGTCCGCGATCAGGCCCGAGAGCACACAGGATAGGTGCCTGCAGGTCTCGTTACTGTTCACTCCCATGAGCAGTGCGATCAGGGTGCCCCTGGCCTTGTTCACCTCACACATCACCGAGTTGATCTTGGCGACGGAAGGATGGGCGTCCTCGGAGAGCGGCAGAGAAGGCTGCTTCTTCACGCAGTCTTCGATGATCTCCTGCACCGCACATATTTTGGTTAAAGTGTGATACCTCGCTTTCCGCAAGGAGATCTTCCCTCCCGTTTTGACGTGTGTCAGCCTCAGGATGATATCCTGGATGCCTTCTTCAAATTCGTCAGTCACACAGTTGCCCCCACTGTAAAAGGGCACAATCTTCTCCTTCACCAGGGACTGGGCTTCTTTAAAGATGTTCTCTATTTCGATCCGGTGGGGGTGGTTTGCGCTCTGCTCCAGCTCTTTGAGAAGACGCTCTGTCTCTTGGGCCGCCCTCTTCCTCGCTTGCTGAATATCTCCTTTTCCTTCAGTATCTACAGAATCTATTTCAAAAAGTTGTTTCGTTAGAAACCTCTCCAGTTTCTTGTAATTCTTGTCATCTGACAGACCACTGAAGCCAATTACTTGCTGTTCTATGCTTTTTACTTCCTTTTGGATTTCCTGAAGCCTACTGATAGCAGGATGTTGGTTTCCCATATCCATACTTTTGTTGTGTTCGGTTTTACAAGCACTATAAAAAAAAAAAATTGACGAGAATGCCAAATTACACAACGTTGCTACAGAAAGGTAACCGTATACTCATTTATTCTGAAATTCTCTTTAAAAAGATATATTCAAGAAAAAGGGCCCATCATTACTGTGATCTAAGCAGCCATACTTAAGTAGAGAGAGTGACTAATCCACTTTGCTGAAAAGCACCTTCACACAGCCGTGATTAAGAGCAGACAGGAGGGGTGCCTGGGTGGCTCAGTAGTTAAGCCTTTGCCTTCGGCTCGGGTCCTGGTCCCAGGGTCCCGGGATCGAGCTCCACATCGTGCTCCCTGCTCAGCAGGAGTCTGCTTCTCCCTCTCCCACTCCCCCTGCTTGTGTTCCCGCTCTCGCTGTGTCTCTATCAAATAAATAAATAAAATCTTAAAAAGATAAAAAAGCGGATAGGATACTGCAGTGGGGAATGAGCTGGAGCTCTGAGCCTGTGAATGTCCTGTGTCCTCAGCTGGAGCAGAGTAGCGTCTGTGCGCACGAGGTCAACCCCCAGCTTGGAAACAGTACAGGAATCTCAGGTAACATTAACCTTGGCCCTAGTTGTTGGCAGGAGCTGGGCACCTTTGTCGATGTACAACAGCAGTTCGTTTCACCTTCAAAGCTAACCGTGCCATCCCAGCACCTCCCTGGCCCAAGAGCTATTCCTAGTTTCCAGAAAAAGGAACTCTAGGTCGAACAATTAGCAGCAGTCACCCCCCAAGAAGTCCCGCTTCTGCGTTCCTCCCCACCCTTCCCATGCTTCTGCAAAGCGACCGTTTCTCCCCGCCCGCTGAGTCGCTCACAGATCGTCCCTCCAATGGAAAGGAAAGACGACTCGTACCGTGTTCAAAGTACCACCTTGGCCTCTGGAGAGCTAGGACCTCCCCAGGCCCCACCATGCTCCCTTTCCCACCCCCCACCCGTCAGATGCGACAATCCATTCATTAGCCTCCCACTGAGAAGCCGGAGTGGCTCAACGCATCCCCCCAATCTCTGAGTTTCTCCCGCCGGCTCACGGAGGAGGACGGACGATCAGCGGACACCAATCCCTTGTGGGTGTCCCGGCCAGGAACAGGCCTCCGGAGGCCCCCAAAGGGCAGGCTGCCCGGCTTCCTTGCCCCCTTCTCGCCCTCCCCTGCCAGCACATTACCCAGAAGAGATCTAAGCTGGTTTGGTCTTGGTTTCCCGTGGGTGAGTTGGCGAGGTGGAAGGTCAGCCCTTTACGGGGTGCGGCACCGGAGCTGGGCCCCTAGCTGCATCCCTCTCACCCCTGCCGGCTAGGTCTGAACCGGGCGGCCGGTGAAGGGGCCGGCGGTGGCGCGGCAGCTACTGGCCGAAGCGGCCGCTCCGGGGGTCTCATTCGGACCCCCGATGCGCCCGCCGGCCCTGACCTCACAAAGGCCCGCGCGGGGGCTTGGCCGGGCCGCCGAGCCCCCCGGGCGGGCTGAAGCCCCGAGAGGGGGGCGAGAGGGCCGGCCCACGTCGGACGCAGGCAGGACGCGGTGCCTGGCCGAGGCCCCGTCCGGCTGGCGCGGGGGGCGCGCCGGCGCAGGGGTGGCTCGCGGGCCCTTCCGCCGCCGCGCCGCGCTTACCTGTGCCGCCCGCGCCATCGCGCGCTGCGCCGCCGACGCCCAGCGACTCCGCCGCTCCCGCCGTCGCCCGCCCCGCGGCCCCGCCCCGGGCCGAACAGCGCTCGCCCTGGGAAAACGTCCTCCGGCGCCGCGCCGCGCCCGCGCCGAGCCGGCCACTACCGCTTGGCCCCGCCGTCCCGAAAGGCCCGCAGCGCAAGAGCAGCCACCGGCCTCCCGCCCCCGCGCCGCGTCGCCCGCGAGGCCCGTCTCACGCGGGGAAAGCGCACGGTCGGCCGCGCCGCTTTCTCCCGCCGGCTTTGCGACCGTGCCGTAAGGCAGCCCCTCGCGCCGTCGCGGCTCTGCCGTGCGCTGCGGCGGTCGGGGGACGTTGGCCATGGCGGCCCTGCGGCCTTCGAGGAGGGTACTTATCCCTCCGCTTTGCCGCGCCTTCGCTGGCCCCGGCTGTCAGCTCGCTCCCGAGCGCGGCGCGGAGCGCAGGGATTCGGCGTCCGGCCGGGTAAGCGAGGGTCCTGCAGAGAGCGGGCGGGGAGGGCGAACCGCCTGTGGCGACGGACCCAGGGACACCTGTGGGCCCCACACCGCTTTGTGCCCGGCTGTGGCGTCAGCGGAGCTCTCAGGGAGCAGGGCCCGCGGGGGCGCGGAGAGGGAGCAGTCGGCCGCTTGAGGGGTGCCGGGTCTCCCGGCCTCGGAGCCCCCAGGTCTGGAGGGTCTGGAGCCGAGGGTGTCGCCGCCAGCCCGGGGACTGTTGACAGAACCTCCGCTGTTGCGGCGGAGGCCGTTGGCGAGTGTGTACGCACCTTCTCTGTTCTCGAAGATGGTTGTTAGAGTGGAAGAGCGCCTCATGGGCGCAGCGTGTTCTGTCGTTTTGGTCTGCGTTTTGACGTCCTCCGGACTGCTAGTGGCTCCCTGCAAGCGGTGGCACACCTCGCCGCGGCTTGTGGGAAAACCGCTCGGATAGTTTTCCTTGCCCGGAAGCTGCATACGTGCGTGTCGCGGATGGCAGGTTCATGTTCATGCCTGCAGCGACAAAGAATGACAGTTCTTAGTGGTCGCACGTCTTTGGGGAGGGATGTTGTGTCTGCGGGGTCCTGGGCTTTGAGTCCAGCCTCCCGTGACAGTGCTCCCCGACGTGCGGAATGGGCTGCAGATAAGCTGTTCAGACAAAGCCCACCTCTGCCAACAGCCTGAGGATGGAGGCGGGAGAACCTGCGGTAAAGAGAGCCGGTGAAGAATTCCAGAAGGCGTCCGCCTGTACATTTTCATTTCCGCGAGTTTGTTGCTGTTAGCATGCTTCTGTAGACCCAGCTTCCATGTTCCGTCTAGCGTCCAGTTTCGGCAAGAAGTTAGCCGGAGGACTGGTCACCGGCTCAGTTCCCTGTTACAGCGGCCGCAGCTGTGACTTACATTCCCGCAGCATTGAAACCGGCAGCGTCTCGCTCTTTGGGCAGGAGCTTATTCTACATGTATTCGAAACCGCATCTACAGCTGCCCGGAGGGTGAGGACTTGCTTTAGCTTATTCCGTGAACTAGCGCTGGAAAAAAGAACACACAAGCGGCTCCTGGCTGGCTCCGTCGGTGGAGCATGCGACTCTCGATCTGGGGACTGGGAGTTTGAGCCCCCACGTTGAGTGTAGACATTACTTAGAAATAAAATCTTGGGGGGAAAAAAAAAAGAAGGTAGAACCCACACACAGTTTTCTTTATTGCTCCCTAGCCTTTGGTTAAAGCAAATCTTACCGTGGGTCTAATCCTCAGGGTGAGACCTTCCCATTGTAGTCCCAAGTGACTAGGGAGCTGGTGTCTAAGCCTGTGACGGTGTTGATTGTGATGATGGGGAGCAGCTGGCCCAGGACTCAGACCTCGTCCTGTTCTAGCATTGAGACCTGTGGTGTTGTGTGTTTTTTGTTTTTTAGGATGTGTTCCCTGTTATGCTACGTGGGTATGGAACTTAAAGGAACAGTTTACTTTAGGGCATTGTGTGTTCCTTTGTGTTCGGTCTTGTCTTTGAGTGTTTGCGGAGTACCCGGCTGGTTCTCCAGATAATTAAATTCCTGCAGCACGGAGAGATTGTTGTCTTTCAGACTTTGATTTTAAATGTTAGGTCTTCTCAAAAGTAACATGTTGTAAACCTTCTGTTTTCTTTATTTATGTAGATATATTTTAATCCTGTACGTTTAGTTCACACAGCGTATTTTTAATTGTTTTTAAATTTAATTCCAGTGCAGTTACCATACGTATTATTAGCTTCAAGATATAATACAGTGATTCAGCATGCCCACACGTGACCTGGAGCTCATCACAGGTGTGCTCCTTAAGCCCCATTCCCCACCCACCTCTCCCCTGGTAACCATCGATTTGTTCTCTATAATTAAGAGTCCGTTTCTTGGTTTGTCTGCCTCTTTTTTCTTTCCTTTGCTCACTACTTTTTTTTTCTTTTCTTTTTTTAATATTTTATTTTGTTGAGAGAGAGAGTATGAGAGGAGAGAGGTCAGTGGGAGAAACAGACTCCTTGGCGAGCAGAGAGCTCGACGTGGGACTCGATCCCAGCACTCTGGGATCATGACCTGAGCCGAAGGCAGTAGCTTAACCAACTGAGCCACCCAGGCGCCCCTATTTATTTACTTATTTTTAAGATTTTATGTATTTATTTGACAGAGAGCACAAGCAGGGGGAGAGGCTGAGGGACAGGGAGATGCAGGCTCCCTGCAGAGCAGGGGAAGCCCATATGGGACTCAATCCCAGGACTCCAGGACCATGACCTGAGCGTAAGGCAGTGGCTTAACCAACTGAGCCACCGAGGCGCCCCATCTAGTTTTAGAATAAATAAATAAATTACAAAACAAATCAGCTCTTAAATTAAGTGTTCTCTAGTCACTTCACACCCCTTTATTCCTTACCTATGGAGGTTACATCTTTGGCTCCTAAACTTGTTTACACATTCGGAAGACTAAAAAAAAGATGTGATTGGTCTGGGATGTGGCCCTGGCCTCAAGATATTTATTTATTTTCTTGGTTTGGCTAGTTTCCCCGCCCCTCTCCCACCCAGGTTCATTGAAGTATGACATTAGGATTTTATGGGGGTGTCTAATATGGGTCACAAGTTAGAGAGCCGCTGGTTACATGATATGCATTCATATTCGCTTGTAGTCCTGAATCTCATTAACATAGTAATAATTAACATTTATTGAGCATTTGCATGCCCCGCTCTGAAAGCTTTGCATAGTTTTTAAATTTTATTTTATTTTAAAGATTTTATTTAGTTATTTATTTGACAGAGAGAGAGAGAGTGCGTGCACACAAGCAGGGGGAGCAGCAGGCCGAGGGAGAAGCAGGCTCCCTGCTGAGCAGGGGGCCCAGTGCGGGGCTCCATCACAGGAACCGGATCATGACCTGCGCGGAAGGCAGAGGCTTAACCAACTGAGCCACTCAGGAGCCCTGAGCTTTGCATATTTTAGTTTATTTATTTTCACATATCAATGAAGGAAATGCTTTTATCATCCCCATTTTACACATGAGAAGATTTAAAGCATGGACAGATTGAAAAATATCCTCAGGATCACAGTGCTTGCACATGGGGAGTATCTGTGTTGTACTTCCTGTATCTGGAAGATAATGAAGTAAAATTTTTCTTCTAGTAATTGTGGATAAAAAAAAATAACAAACACACCCTCAGCATGGAGAGGCAATATTTACAAATGAACAGTAGATGTACTGATCCCCTGTTTTGCTTACATTTTCATTAAAGAGAATGATCTTCAGCCCACACCCCCAACACACAAGTGTAGATTCCCAGTAAATATGAGAAAGTTAAATGCCAGATAAATGAGAAGCTGGTGAGAGGATTTTAAAATTAACATGGATATTTCTAGTTTTTAAAAAGCTTTCAGTATGTTTGTTGGGGAAAAAAATGAAAACTGGGGCAGAGGACTTTAAAATCCTGTGGTCAGGGACCCCTGGGTAGCTCTGTCAGTTGAGCTTCTGACTCTTGATTTCGGTTCAGGTCATGATGTCAGAGTCCTGGGATTGAACCCCACATCCTGTCAGGCTCTAGGCTAATGGGTGGTCTGCCCGTGAATTCTCTCTCTTCCTCTCCCTTTGCCCCTCCCCTCTCTCAAATACATACATAAATCTTAAAAAAAGTTATGTGATTAAACTCCATTATTCTCAAGACAAGGGCCCAGGGCCCAGAGAGGTGGAGTGACTGGCCTGGTGTTACCCAGCAGGGCTAAAGGGAGCCATTCTCACTCCCAGTCTGGTGTTTTCATGTCCCCATGTGCTTTTTCATCAAGTGAAGCAATTACAGGGTTTCCCCCTTATTCTGTTAATGTGCACAGTTGCACTCATTTCTTTTCTTGTTACTTACAGGAAATTTAAAACATGCAGAATGGGCCTCTTGGGTGGCTCAGTCATTAAGCGTCTGCCTTGGGCTCAGGTCATGATCCCGCGGTCCTGGGATCAAGCCCCGCATCAGGCTCCCTGCTCAGCAGGAAGCCTGCTTCCCCCTCTCCCACTCCCCCTGCTTGTGCTCCCTCTCTCACTGTGTCACTCTGTCAGGTTAATAAATAAGTACAATAAAAAACCCCCACAACCATGCATAAATGGAAGAATATAAAGAATTGCTCCCTGTACAGTTAGCTACGGGGGGGGGGGGGGGGGGGGCGTTTATCTCGTCTTTACCCCACCCATCCCCCTCCCGGATCATTCTGTGGCAAAAAGGAATGCATGTTTCATTTGTAACTGTTTCCATATGTAATAACTAAAATATTAAAATTCCTTAATTCCAGCAAATATTCACTGTTCA